CAGTTTCCACGGTTGTGGTGAATGACACCTACTCGTGAAGTTGTTGTGAAGATTAATTCAGAAAGTGTGTTAGCAAAGCATTTAGTGCAATGCCCGGCGCATCGGTTAAGTATCAGCTGTGATTGTTAGTCAGCAAAGTTAGTAAAGAGGGGCGTTAGTCACCTGTGTGTTTAGGGAACTCCCTAGGTGATCCCCACCCCCCCACCCCCACCCCCCCCCCCCCGCCATAGTGATTATTGAGTCTAACAGAGGAGTTAATATGGAGGATTCTTACGTCAGTGAGTTAAGAAGATCAAATTTTTGTCTTAGGAAAAGTAGTGGCGACCTAGACTTAAGTCTGTTTCTGCAAAATAAACCAGAAATGATGGGGCCAGAACTAGATGGTGGCAATAACGGTAGAGAGAATGGGACAAATTCAGGAGATGGGAAGAAGGTGAAATGATAAGACTGACAAGATGGGGCCAGAGTAGGTGGGGAAGTCAGCAGGATGCTCAGTTTTCTGGCTTGAGCACCAGGGGTGGTGCCACAGGGGGAGAGGGGGGACCCCAGCATGAAGTTGGGGCAATAATTAAGAGTAGTTTTGAACATGTAGAAATTGAGGTCTTCGGGCTATCACAGGAGAGGTGGCCAATTGTTATTTCTGTATGAAGCTCTACAGAACAAGTTGGGCTGGGAATCAGATCCAGGTGAAACCAAAGCGAATGATGTTATTAGAGGGGTTTTAGTAAAAGGATAAGAGGATGGCGCAGAGATGGGTAGCAAGATGTTTAGTTGCCGTTTGCAGCCTTAAGAGATGATGGAGGTGTGGGTCCTATGAGCCTGGGTCCCTGAGGGTTTTTTGGAGCAGAGTTGTTACACCAGCCCCGGACTGCCTGCCTTTGGCTGTTCACAAGAAAGAGATAATTTTCTATCTTGCTAAAGCCACTGTTATTTTGTGTTTTTCTGTTATTTGAAGCAGAATACAGTCTTAACGGATGCACGGACCAAGGCTAAAACAATCATCAGCCTTTCATAATTATCTTTCAGATTCATTCTCATACACATCCTCAGACACTAAGCTCAGATAGCATAAGCCCCTTTATTTTTTTATTTTTTTAAATATATTTTATTGATTTTTTACAGAGAGGAAGGGAGAGGAATAGAGAGTTAGAAACATCGATGGGAGAGAAACATCGATCAGCTGCCTCCTGCATACCTCCTACTAGGGATGTGCCGGCAACCAAGGTACATGCCCTTGACCAGAATCGAACCCGGGACCCCTCAGTCCACAGGCCAACGCTCTATCCACCAAGCCAAACCGATTAGGGCGCACCTGCTTCATTTATCACTTTCTTTTTTAATCCTCACCCGAGGATATTTTTTCCATTGATTTTTTTTTTTTTTTAAGAGAGTGGAGGGGAGGAAGGAGAGGGAGAGAGAGAGAGAGAGAGAGAGAGAGAGAGAGAGAGAGAGAGAGAGAAAACAAGGATGTGGGAGAAAACCATCAATGGGTTGCCTCCCGCATGTGCCGGGGATGGAGCCTGCAACCAGGACCCTAACCATTGAGAAAAATCGGCCAGACTCATTTATCACTTTTTGACTCACACTGTATGACCCCTGAAGGTGCACACACTGACCCCTCACTCACACCCTTGACCTTAGATTTAACTATTCATATCCTCAAGTGCACATATTCATATTCACTCCTTTAGATACGCACATGGACCCTTGACAAACCTCATTGCCATCCTCAAGCAGATATGCTTATTCCCTTATTCGTACACATGTGTTCTCCTTCATACTTTTAGAGAAGGGATGCTGACCAGTAATATGCTAGTGTTTAACAGCCTCTCCAGGTGGGAAGGGAGGCTCTGATGTATATAGCATTTGCCGATTGCCATGGTACAAATCCTCTAACCAGGGCCAATTTCAAGCTACCTGTGGTTTGACAGCCTGCTCTCAGAATTCCTGACAATTTAACAGTGGCTCTCAGAAGCACTGGCTACAGTACACCGTGAATACTGATTGTGACAGACGCCCTCACCTGCTGTAAGTGACTCACTGGCCTTGTGGCAAGGTGGCGAGTAGTGTAGGCTTTTAATTCCCGGCCTCATGGAGGCAGTGTAGTGCATGGTTAGCAGCTATTATGGTATTCAAGGGTTGTGATGAGGCTTTAAATGAGATCATCATGACTTTTTAAAATGATGTTTATAAATTTGAACAACAACAAAATAATAAAAAAAAAAACAACTACAGCCCTGACCGAGTAGCTCAGTTGGTTAGAGTGTCAGCCTAGGTTGTGAGTTCGATCCCCGGTCAGGGTATTTACAAGAATCAACCAATGAATGCATAAATATGCAGAGCAACAAAATGATTTTTCTCTCCCTCCCTCTTTTTCTCTCTCTCTAAAATAGGTAAATAAATAAATAATTTTTTAAAAAGAATAAAAAATCTTAAAAAGTTGAAAAAATGTTTATAGGAGACTGGGCACAATGCCTGCCCCATAGCAAGAACATTGCATAAAATATTTTAAAATAACCCTTTCTGATGGACTGATTCCAAGAGACACCCAAGAATTCAGAACTATAGATCCAAATTTCTCCCCAAGACAATCGGTACTATCATGGAGAATCACTAAAATACATCCTCTGAACAAAGGCATGCTCTAAATTGCATGGTACACATTCTTGGGACCTCAGGAGTTTATAGAGGAGCGGAAACCAAATATGGGTGAGATAGCAAACTAAACTAGCAGTGCTCAGGCAAATTCAGCTCTCAAAAGAGTTTTGTTTGGCACCAGAAAGATTTTAGGCGAACGTGTCTCTTCCATTTTCACAGTCCCCATCCTTGCTGTTGTCTTGCGCCCGCCTCACTTTGCTCATTTATGCTACTGGCCCAGACCTTTAGCCATCCAGCTTGCCACTCCCTGATTTAAATTAATACCTTTTAAACTAAGGCTTAGGTGTGTGAGTAACAATAACAAAAGTTAACTTTTATGGACCACTTAACTTTGTGCCAGCCATGATCTTAACACTTACTTTAACCCTATTTGGGTGGATACCTTTTCATCTTTTTTACAGACAGGAAACTGAGTTTAAGAGCGAGAAACTAACTTGCTAACTCACAGAGCTAGTAAGTGCTTTGAATCTTGGAGTGTTTGACTCTGGTCTACTGAACTATGACTAGATCAAGGAGGACATTCCAGGAAAAGATGACCCAAGCGAGGGAGAGAAGGTATATCATATCTGTGGATGCAGGGCATTGGAGACGGCAGCAGGCTGAGGTGGGGAAGGCTCTGAACACGGGAGATAAAGGTATTGACTTTTTGGTAAATTGAGTTTGCCCATTTTGCCACCCCCACTCCCCCAATCACCATCATCCTAGTATAAACCTGGAATCCTGCAAGAGCCTCTTTACTGGTCTTCCTCTTCCCCTTTCATTCCTATTCATCTCAATATAACTCTTACTTTCATCAGTGTGATCGTTTTGGGGATGCAAATAGACCCTCTGTGACCTGACCCTGTTTAAAATCCTCCTCGGACCTATCCTTGCACTGAGGATAAAACCCAAAAGCTTTAACGTGGTCTTTCGGGCCCTGCCTCCGCCCACCTGCCGAGACCTGCTGTCCTCTTCCTCCCATTGCCCATGTTGCTGTACTAATAACTCTGGCTGATATGAAGGCTCCACCCATCCTTGGTCTTATTCAGCTTAAATGCCATTTTCTCCAAGAGGCCCTCCTGACCCCACCTAGATAAGGTTTCTCTGTCCTCTCTCCTAGCAACCTCACCCTCACAGAACTTAGCATGCTACGTGATTGTTGTGTTTGTGTGTTTAAAGATTAAGGTCTGTCTTCCTCACTAGACTGTAAACCCCTCACAGGGACAAGGACTGTATCTGTTTCCCTCATTGCTGCAGACCCTTGTTGAGCACAACCCTGCTCATGTTAAGTTTCCCATAAGTGTTTGTAGAATAAATAGATGAATTAGCAGGTGGGTCGGAGCCATATCTTCTTTTTCTTGGGGGGTACACGGCACACAGACAAGCAGACACTGTCAGAGCTCAGTAGACATTTGAATATATTTTGACAATGGGCACAAAGATTTATTTCAGCTTAAACTTTATTGGTTTGGCTTGTCGAGGGTACCCAGGAGCTGAGTCAGTGCAGGGCAGAGTCCAGTCCTGAGCTGGGTTTAGTCAGAGTCCCTGAAACCTGTGGAGAGTAGAGAGGGTGGGGAGGAGGGTGGTTATCAGCTTGGAGTCAGCAAAGTAAATTTATCCTGGCACCCAGCCATAGTTCAACCGCTCCTCCCTCCCAAGTACCTTTTTGATTATAAATAATCAAAACGATTCAAAAAGCACGGAGCCTGTTACCCACCGTCCTACGGAGGTGTTCTCACCCCCTCTTCTCTATCGTTGCGGTCACATTCCTCTCACCCTTCTTATCCTCCTACAGGGAGTCCTCCCACATCTGTCCCCTCAGTCCTTCCCTCGCTCCCCAGCATGGAAGTCTAAACCAGCGGTCACCAGCCGGTGGTCAGTGGTCCACGAGGTCCGAAAGGTTGGCGACCGCTGGTCTAAATGTCTTTTGGTTTCTGTGCCTGGGTGTCTGCACTTGGAATGAGTGTCCTGTCTCACCCTTTAGGTCCCTTTCTTCTAGGACATAATAGGTTGAGGGACTTCCTAATAGTGATATGGATGCAAGGACCACTGAGACCAGCAGCAGCTACAGAGAAGGGCACCATGCCTCCCACTATAGGGGCTCCATCACTGGGAAGGTGCCACGGCACAAGGGTACAGAGGGAGAGCGGAGAGGGGGATGGGCAGGTCAGCTGGGGTGGGCAGGGGAGGGGAGAGCAGCATCTGACTTGGAGGAGGTTGAGAAAGGAGGGCAAGCAGTAACAATAGCTGCCACCATCACTGAACTCTTACTTTCTACAGAGGTTGCTCTCAACTTTTTCCTTACGTTCTCTTATTTCTCAACTTTTTCCTTACGTTCTCTTATTTAAAACCCACAGCAGCCCCATGAAGTGGTTTAAATAGTCCCGATTTTCATGAAAACAACGAAGTTCAGAGAGTCTGAGAATTGGCCAGCATATGTTGGGATGAAGATTTGAACCTGTGCCGGACCCCAATACTCAAGCTTACAACCAGTACGCAAGCCTCCCAAAGCCTCCCATCTCTGCCACCTGAGCCTGCAGAGCTCCGTGCGATCCACCATCCAGGCCAGCAGCTCTTGAATCAGTAAGTCCTTCAGCAGATCTTCATCACTGGGCTTCATGGGTAGGGAGCTGCACAGGAGACAGCCTCAGGCAGGCTGCCTTCGCCTGGCCCCACCCAGAGAGAGTAAACACGGGACGGGGGACTCCGAGGGAGGGGGTGGGGGAGGGAGTCAACACAGCTGCCTCTGGGTTACCTCAGCTTTTAAAACTCCAACCCAATCTGCCTGCCAATCTTCAATACAGGCAAAGCCGAACAGAATTCTGGTGGGAGCCATCCCACCCTCCACCTCTACAGGTATCCCAGAATGCAGTCCGAACCCCCAAGAGATTATTTGGGGGACCTTGGCTCTTCATGACGATCTGTGCCACAGCTTCCTCAGCGGGGGGGTAACTGACTTTAGGGGACTGGCCGTGGGACAGGATGGTCCCAGTTCTACAAATGTCCTTCCTGGTGTGCGGCAGGGAGAAGTGGGGAAGCCGGTTCCTGAGGTCTCCTTCGCTGCCCCTCTCCTGCACACTGAGTCATCAATCTTAGAAACCCCGGCCCCCACACCCCTCCCAGGCACCCCGCCCCCATTCCACCCAGGCTTCTCCCTTAAGCTCCGGCTGACCTCCAAGAGTTCAGCGAAGACCCCTCTTTGAACTCGGAGTGGAAGGGGCTGCTTATCTGGGGCCTGGCCCTGCTCTGGAGTCTGGGAGCGGGAACAATGAGGTGGGGGTGGGTCAGGAGGCCCCACACCCTCCTTCCCCTGTGGGCTGACTCACCCCTGCTGCTCCCTGGCCTCCTTCTTCCTGTTAGATTGATGGGCCAGCTCTAGGGCCTGGGCCTCCCTCTGAGTGATGTTGTGTTTCCAGCTGGTGAGATAAGGATTAGGGAGTGGGTGGCAGAACAGAGGGTACCTCTTTCTTCCCTCAACCTCCTGACCGCTTGTCTTCAGCTGCTTCAGCTGCTGGTGAACAGCTTTCCAGAATCTACCAGGCTGACCAAACAGCAAGGGCAGGAAGAGCTTTGGCAAAGAGAAGGAAGTAGGACGAGGACAGTTGATTCTATTTCCAAAGTCTGAAGAGGCCACCACCAAAAAGTCATTGGCAGCAGCTCAGCTTCCCCTGCCTTCATCCCCGGCCTCCTGGGAATCCTCGGTGAGCCCCACACATCTTCACCGACCCTTCCCCTCAGGAGAAAAGGATTGGGAAGTTGCCCTGGTCCTGCCCCCACACTGGACCGCTGCCCAAAGCAGGGCCGCCACGCGGTCCAGCTCCCTATCGTCGCCTCAGTGAGAGGCGCCACCTGGAGTTGTGCATCGCAGGGCCCCGTGGGGCCACGATGGCGCCTGGTCTGAATGCAGGAAGGGAGCCGGAGGCTGGGGACAGGAGGGGCTTGCGCGATGACTCACTCATTCTTCTTCCCCTTCTGAGCCAGCAGCCAGTCCACAAAGTCTTGTTGGCGGATCTTGTCCATGGCGATGCTGTAGTCACTGATGAAAGTCCCCTCGGCATACCTGCGGCCTCGAGGTGTAGAGCCTCTGACCTTCGCGTGGACTCTGAGGGGCAGGGAGGGGAGAGAGAGAGAAACCAGGGTGCCATGAAGGGGCAGGGTTGAGGGGGTTCACCATCCGGCATACATGACGGTCGCTGACAGGAGGCCAACATGTAAAAATGAACCAGCCCATTTCCGGGGAGTCCGTTTCTGTGGAGACACCCTCTTGGCTCTGCCTTGAGCCCCTTGGACTTTATTTCCAGCTGAAAGGCCTGCTTCCTGCATCATTAGTGTGTGTGGCTCTGGCTTCTGGGCGAAGAGGGATCAGAGGGCCCCCGATCCCCAAGGACTGGCTCCCAGTACCTTCCTGGACTCCTCTCGCCCTGGCCACACCTGGTTTAGGTCTTTGGTTCCCAGTCACTACTGATAGTAGTGAGCTCTTATGCGTGAGGCAGGGCCTCGAATAGCCCTTTAATACAGTCACTCATTCAGTCCTCACCACACCCCTAGCAGGCAGACGCTAGCCATACCCCCTTTTTGTGAATGAGGAAACCAGGGAGCAGAGAGATTAATTTGCACACAGCATAGGCGGCAGATCCAGGGTCCACCCCAGGCGGTCTGGGCCCGGGTCTGCGTTCTTAGCTTCTGCGTGATGTCTCTCCTGGTACGTGTCTCTGACAGCCGTGCCTCAGATTTATATCACTGGATTTACATGAGCATGGAGCTGTCCTTGCACCCAAGAACGCCCAACTCTTCCCTCGGATAGGCCTCTCTTGGTCCCCAAAACACAGAGCCCCCCGCTGTGCTCATTCCTCGCACTCTGCTTTTCCTCACAGAACTCATGACAGTTTGCAGCTCGCCTTGGTGGTTCTTTGTCTGTTTTCCCTTTGGCCCTGTGCACACCATGAGGGCAGGAGGGTTTTGTGGACCACTCCGCACATATATCTCCTGCACCTGTACCGGGGGGGGGGGGGGTCAGGGGCGGGGGGGTCGGTCCTTTATCAAGTTAGATGAGCCAAGGCTCTCCTGAATGAATGGTTAAGGGAGATGTTGTCATCTGCTTCAGATGCTTAGCCACTGAGAAGGCCTTCCAGAGGCCTAGCCAGTAGCTCCTGAGAAATACTCTCTGCGTCGTCCCTCGCTCTGCACTCAGACGGCTGGTGGCAGGTTTTCCCCTGGAGCTTCTTTCCTCTTGGCCCAGGATTCCTTCCTTTCTCATGCCACCAAGACCAGAGCCCTGTCCTCCCCCAGCCCCCTCCGCAGCAGCGGGCCCTCCCTCCTCTCCCCACCTGGAGGGACTCTCTTCCTTGTCTCCTAGCACCACTGCCACGAGCAGGGACACCAGCAGCAGAGAGATCTTCATGGCCACCATCTTCCAAGGGTTATTCCCGAGCTAAGAGAGAGCAGGAGCAGGATGAGGGGGAGGCACGGTGTGAGGGAGCCGTCAGCCTGCCTCAGAGCCGTGGGGGTGCTGAAAGCTGGGGGGCACTGAGTCCTGTGGTTTGGAGTTTGGCTAAGAGGCCGGAGCAGGATCTTAGGGAGGGTGGGGAGGGCATGGGCAATACAGCTAGTAACTAGAAGGAACAAGGAGTCTGGCCGAGAGGTGAGCCTTCTTTTCGTTTTGTGTTTAAGTGGAGTCTGAGGGGCGGGGGGTGGGGGGTGCTCCAGGCAGGAGAAAGCAGCGGGACCTGTGTGCCTGGACAGCCCCCCTTCCCGGCTCAGTGGCTAGACATCATAGGCATGTGGTTTGGCAGGATTCTCCCCGCAGAGCCCTCCAGAGTTCATACCAGCCAGCCTCCCAGCTCTCAAACGGGCTTGTCACCTAAATCATCACAGCCCTCTCGCCCGAAGTGAAAACCACCCGAGGAACCATCCCCTTCTGCCTTTTTCGGATTTCATTTTTTCCGCCCAGGGAATTTTTTTCGGAGTTCGGACCACTTTACCCGGCCCGGCCCCCGGGTTTTTTTGGGCGGGGGGGGGGGGGGGGGGGTCATCAGTACAGGAAGAACAGTAAGTCACTTTCCTCCCAGGCCCTAAAAACCAAAGCGAGGCTAGACATGTGCGGCTGCAAGACCTCGCCTCCCTGCCTTCGTCACCTGGGGCTTAAAGGGCCATCCGCACCCCCGTCTTATTTCCTATGGAGAGGAAAAGCAACGGGGTGCCAGGGTGCTGAGCCCCTCGGGGTCCCCGGGCCACCTCCCTCCAGCGCCCCTGTCCCAGCTGCTCTTACCAGTTGTCCTTTCCAGGGCTCCCAGAAGGGCAGCGGGTCTCTTCCTCTTGCTTCTGGCCCGGCGGAGCCTGCCTCGGTGACTTCTGCCCGCCGCGCCGCCTTTATATCCAGGCCCCGCAGACCCTCTGAT